GGATAACAACAACAGGAGCCGAGAAGAGAATCAAGACTGAGCAGTCGGAATGACAGGAAGCCCGTCAAGGGGAGTGAGCTCCTCGCCAGTGACCGCATCATCCGCTTCCAAGCCACCCTCAATCAGAAGCCGATCTTGCTCTTGCTGCTCCGCGCTCATTAAAGTCCCATATTGATCAAAGGGAGCAACGGTCTCAGTCCAAGGAAGGTTCACAGAAGCGGCGCGGTCTCGCCCTGAGGAAGGTTTGAGGACATCCAAGGAGGAGGAGTCATCTTAAAATCACCATCAGTAACTTCCTCGACGTCCGGAGCATCGAAATCCTTCTCGAACCTGCTAAAGTTCTCATCGAGCTCTTTGAACCAGTCGTCCGAGACATCGGCTCCAACCTTCTTAAAACTAGCAAGGTAATCCTTAATAGCCATTGCTTGGTTCATCAGCGTGCTAAGCCTGTTCGCCTCCTCGTTGTCAGAGATCGACTTTTTAATCCTCAAAAGCTTAGCATCGCACTTCGCGATGATCTGAGTGACCTCGTGCCTTCGAGAAGACCGCAGACAAACTGTCTCTTGATCGTGAAAAGATTGCAGAGACTCTTTTTCCGTCTTTATCCTCTCGAGCTCCTCCTCGGCGTATTTCGCTCCCTGTCTTGCTTCGTCTACCTTTTTGGACAGATCATCCATCGCAGCGGTCTGCGTGGTGAGCCTCTTCTCGAGACCGGGAACCTTCTTAGCCTCTTTCTTCACGCTCGGATAATCCTCGAGCTTCTTTAAAAGCCCCCGAGACCGACGCTCGTATTTTTCGATGATCAGATTCAAATGTCTGATCATCTGTCAAAAGAAGATGGATGAGCAAAGACAAAATAAAAGCAAGGATTTTAAAACACAATATCGGGTTAAAGGACGATACCTCCATCACGCTCCCCGTGAACAGCTGATATGCCTCCGCTTCGATCAGGTCATCGGGCTCAGGAAAGTCGTGCACCGTGCTACAAGCGATCTTCGAGCATAGCTCAACGCACGCCTACGGGATACTTGCGATATGATCTTTTGATTTAAAGCTGAACAAAAGATAATAGGTCGCGGGTTCTTCTTCAGAACCAGTAGCAGCGGCTTCAACAAAGGCGGTCTTCTGGGTCGACTCCTCTACGCGTTCTTTCTTCTTCGATCATTCAACAGCGACTTCAGTGGGCCTCTTTTTCCCGGTCTCCTTATCAAAAACCTTCTTCGCGACCTCAGTAGAAGGGTTCGCCGCTCATTTTCCCACCTTCTTCGCAGCTAGAGAAGCCTCAGCGGCCTTCTCGGTCTGCAAAGAGACTTGCTTGGATGCTTCCTGAGCAGCGACAGAAGGCCCAGCCTGTTTAACGGCTGCATCAGTCCCTTTGCTCGGGGCAGGACTCTCCTGAGCAACGTCGGTGTAATTAAACCTCTTAAATTTGGCCTTAACCATTTCTTTCTTAGCTTTCTTTTGACGGGGCTTCTTCAGCTTGATCGGAGGGAAGGTATACGGTCAGGGAGGGGCGAGCTCGAGAGTATAACAGCCTGTACGATAAAACATGATGGTTTTGAGTAAACAGCCCGTCTTAACCATGAATCAAAAAGGAACTAACTCGACAAATGAACCAGTCTTGATCCTTTCCTGGCACCTTTGGATCCTTTGCTCGAGGAATTCTGGCCAAATCTGAGGTTCCAGTCTTTTCAAAAGAGGAATCAGCGTCTTCTCACCGGGCTTTGGAGCGGTCAAGATCGGTGGAACTGGGTAATCTGCAAACAAAGAAGAAGATTAGGTGTCAGCCTAAATGGGTAAACTCGTAAACCTAGAGATGTTAAGCCTACTGATTATAATATTCCAGCCAGAACGAATCAGCCATTTTGGGTTCTCGACAGACGCCGCATCGATCTTCACGAAGAAGTAGCTGAGCTCCTAGTTGTCACATTTATCGCTTACAGAATCCGGATGCAGTCACGAATACCCGGGGTAAGCCAATACGTAAAAACGACCTGAGGGTTTCCGCCGCTTGATTTGGGCATCGCCTCAAAGGTATCGCAATCGCATTCCATTTCATGCTCAGCTGCAAGAGTGAGGCAGACCGCAAAATTCCGGATTGAAGCCCAGGTAAGCTAGGAAACAGCTATGCCCCGCCGGGCACAATACTTGATCAGTACTCAGGGAAGCGGAAACCACAGCCCGCTCGCCATGAAGAAAGACTCGTACAAACATATGTACCCTTCCTGAGGCGTCCAGGGTCGGTCATTTTCACTAGGGACCAGAAATTCAACCCTATTCGAAAGGCCTCGAATAGACCGCATCGCCTCAAAAGACGTCTAAGAGGACTCCTTTTTTTTATTCTCAAAATGAACCAACTTTATATGTCGACCTAGGCCCGGTCCCGGAGGATCCTGTCTGCCCGGAGTAGATATCGACAACCAAAAGAGTCGGAATCCTCCTCACCAGCGGACCAGGCGGTGTTACGATGAGTTCGCTCACGGCTATGCCAAGCTCCTAGATGGAAAGATGGGCCAAGTATTGAGGACCCAGCGGCCTTAGAGGTCCCGGTCTCAACAAGGTTCCGATCAGACCACGAACCCTTAACCGAGCTAGATTCTACATCGCCAACTTTCGAGATGCGAGCCCTGTGAACATGAGCCAGTGTCTCTTCTTCCATCAAAGATAGACTGTCAGATAAAGATACAGAAAACGAGCTGACCAAATTCTGACTAGGAGAGTTTTCACCGGAAGAATCAATTTGAATCGGAGAGGACATGAACCAAAAACCAGGTCGGGACGGAGAACTATTTGAAGATCGGTCGGAGAACTCAAACTGAGACGGCAGACTCGGAGACGATGGGACATCAAAAATACCTAACGAAAGATTAGGGAGAGAATGAGAAAGAAACTACCTTTAGAGGGAGAAGCGAGAAGAAGCGAACGGAAGTGAAGCAGAGAGCCCCCTTTTATAGGCTCAGACTGGAAGACGAAACGTCATACCTCGCGCAAAACACCAGGGCGGCACAGCGAGCCAATCAGAACAGGACTTCGGGCTGGGCTTAATCTGTTTTGGGCCTAGAACGCGCAACGGACGAACGACAAAATTCGGCCCACCTCTTCTACCGAATTGGGGGGCTACTGTTGGGCCAAGACTTGCGGCCCATTAGATTCTGTGGCCTAAACAATTCACAGCCCGCAAACAGTAAGGCCCAGCTCAAACAGTAACCGCAGTCTGTTAAACGTGAGTCAGATTCGGTAACTACAGTTAATAAAACCTAGGATTTACCCTCAACCTTGTACTATAAATAGGAGTACAACGTGATGTGACCATTCATCTTCCATTCCTCTAAAAAGAGTACAAAGGACCCAGAGCATTACCGTTCAGGTCTCTAACTCTGACAGAGAGCCCGCTGAGAGGTCACCACCAATCGGAAAACACCGAAAATGTTTACATACCTTTATTAGCTCGCAACGAACCGAGTAGCCCGGGATCTGTCCGGCCTACTACACTCTTTCTGATCTATAGTAATATGATAGCCCAGGATTTGTCCGGACTATCAGCTGCGGTCTACTTTGTAACATTTATTTCGGGCTCAAACTCTAATACACGAAATTCTCCGACCTATGTCTATTACAAATTCATTGTTGAGTCCTTCTAGATTAAACATATGATCAGAATTTAGGTTAGGACTTGGATTTTGACTTGGTTGAATTCTGTTATCATGCTTTTTGTGAGCTCTAAACATAGCTCATGGACGTTGTTTGAGGATTCCAAAACTCATTTAAGTTCAAAGTGATTGTGATGTTGCATTATGCGACTTTGTGATTAAATCGTTGATAATGTTTTGGAATGTCCGGATTTGATCGACTTGAGCTTTGGTAAGG